TGACTCAAATTTTTAGCTGTAATTTAAAGAGAAAATTTAAAATAATAGATTATATACTTTGTTTTTGCTCAGAAAAAAAATTATTTAGCCTTAATAATAGAAAACTTACATGTCTGGAATGATCTGCGTCAACATTCATATCCGCACCTATGATAGGGATCGATCTGTTAAAATAACATGGCGCTACTGTAAACCAAAATTGAATATATAATTATAAATAATAAAACACAAAAACACAAACATACATGGCTTTCATTTTGCACAGGCCTACAGATCTTCATATTCGTTTTAAAATTTTTATTCCAAATTGTTATGTAATATCTAACTTAACCATATAAATTACTTTATACATTTATTATTTTGCCATATTTTACAATATTACCAAATATATACATTAGTTTGAATTATTTTTATTTTTCGTTATAATTAACTTTATCTCCTTTTAAAACAAAATTTATATTATATTTACGCATTATTCATACAGACTATTTTATTAAGCGTCGCGTTTTTAATTTAAAATTGAATTGAACAGTGAAATATTTAATTTTCCTCATTAATTTTTAGGTTCAAATTAATTCTTGCTTCACAAAGACACGTATTATTTTAACACTAACAACCATACCTTTAATGAATGTATAGTTATTCTGGTTTTAAATTCAAAAGAATCGAACTGCTATTATCCTAATTCATTGTGCAGATAGTTCCTATTTCGATTTTTCATAAATTACCTTCAGTGCAGCTTTGGTTTATATATTTTCTTTAGACAAAGAAAAGTAATATATGATCATGTCGTTATCACTGCTATATTTGAATATATTGTTATTCTGCTGTAGTCTCTGTTGAATGGTGTTTTTAATAGATGATGTTTTGTAACGATTGCTTACTAGTAGATTAGTAACTCTTTTCAGTTTTCTATTGCGATCATCAGTTGAGAATGAATGCGTGAATGCACGATTCACAAAGGATTTTATTGTATTTTATTACTTTAAAGTGCTCGTTGCATTTGTAAGTAAGACATCACAATTGATTCTAAAGAACAACTGGACTCCTAAAGACGATTCTATCGGGTTGTTCGGAAAGTAATTTAATTTTTTGTGGTGAAAATGAAAAACGATCTTCGTATAATGAATAAATATTTAATTAAATTATATATTGGCCATTATGATTGGCCTTTTGCCATCTTTCTGGTAGTAGCATGATTTCACGTTCATAAAATTTTTGGTCTTTGCTGGCAAAAAACTTGTCCTCCTGCTCTTATCAATTCTATCGGAACACCATCCTTCCCTGTACTTTTGTTGTTCTTCATTTTACTCATTGCTCTTGTAATTTCTTCCCTAGTTATTTCACTTCATTGATTATTTTTCTGTTTTTCAAAATTTCAAGCGTTTCTTTTTTGTATGTGTTCTTGTCTGTGAACAAGTCATTAATATATTCAGTCCATCTATCCTTTATCTTTTTACTTTCCGTTAGGATGTTTCCGTTTTTATCTTTAATAATCCTTGACATATTTTTTTGTTTTCCTTTTAACTGTCTAACCAGCTGGTACCACTCTCTTGTCTTGTTTTGCCAAATCATCGTCTCTACCTTTTCACATTTACCATTAAACCATCTCCTTTTATCTGCTCTAGACTCTTTTTTATTTTTGGCAGACTTCTTTGTATTTCATTTTATTTTCTCTACTCTGTCTTTTTGTCATTTTCAAACTTCTTTCTTCTACAAGGTTCCATGTTTCATCGCTTATCCACAGTTTTCTTGAGAATTTTTTCTAGATTGCTAACTCTTGTTTTCAAATCGTAATTGGATGCTGAGTCCAATTCATGTTCGATTTTATTTTTTATATCCTCCATCTTCTGCTTTATCATTTCTGTGTTGTATCTCACTTTCCTAATGCTTTCTCCCATTTTAAGCTTTTGTTTTATTTTCATGGCAACGTTACATAAGACGAGGCGATAATCTGATCCAATTTCTGCACTTGGGAAAGCTCTTCATTGGGTGACAAATTTCATCCATTTCTGTTCTATCAGTATTAAATCTATCATGCTCAATGTTTTTCCGTCTGGTGACATTTGTTGTCGTTTTGCCTCTTTGTGTTTGTGACATACAATCGTTGGTCTTTCACAAACTCTAGTAACCTTTCCCCTCTATCATTTCTATCTCCTACACCGTATTTTTCCATTACTTCTTCAAATCCAATGTTGTCACTTCCAATTTTAGCATTCCAGTCCCCAACAATGATCTTGACATCTTTGTTTGGTAATGCTCTCAATGTTTGTTCCAGTTGTTCGTAGAACGTTTCAACTTCATCATCCGAATGATTTGTTGTTGGAGCATAAGCAACTATCACAATAATATCTCTTGGATATCCTTGAATCTGGCATACATCAACCTGTCATTTACCGGATTGTATTCAATTAATGCTCTTCTTGCTTTCTCTCCAAAAATCATTCCCACTCCATGAATATGCTCGGTTTCTGTGCCTGGCCATAACAGTTTTCCGTTCTCCACTTCCTGTCCATCTAACTTCACACAAGTTTATCATATCTAAACCTCTCAAGCTCTTTTTTCAGCATCGCATATGTTCCAGCTTGTCACAGTGACTCACATTCAAAATTCCAACTGTAAATTTCATCTTCATTTTACCTCTTTGGGACTCAGTAACAAACTTTTCATTGTAGCTCCTAGTTCCCAAAGCTGCAATGCGGTCCTTGTTGTCCCGGGCGACTACCGAGCTGGTATGATGATTTGCTGTTGTGTTTACCATCGTGTTTGTAGCGTTTTTAAAACAGTGTAGCAAGCTTATGTCAACCCTCCTCCTTTACCCGGACTTGGGACGGGCAACGAACTCTGTTGGATTGCAGCCCCAGATCTCACGTGTTATTATTGACCGGTTGGCATCAACTAATGCCTTTATCACGTCTTTATCAGCTTCAACCGACCTTTCAGAACATGATGCATCTTCAACATCAAAATTTCCGGATCGAAATTTTGCAAACCAGTTCTGGTACTGGCGTATTGTCAACACCTTTTCATACACATCGGTTAATTTCTTTATGGCTTGAACAGCATTTTTATCTATAGTAAAAAAGTAAAATATGACAAAAATGCTGCTTATTTCTTTCCATATTTCAAAGAGCACCGACCAAAAACTACTGCGTAAAATCAAGTGAACTTATTCACACACAAGTCATGCTATATCACCTGTCAAAACATATAATGACAATGCGACACAAGTGTGAAGTTAGATGTGAAAAAATACAATTAAATATTCTGTCTGGAAAAAACGAAATTACTTTCCGAACAGTATAATACATTGAAGCGTAATCATAAAACATACAAATTCAAATTTCATAATCGTAATCATATATTATCCAAATTCAAATGCGTGTCAAGACGTTTCAAAATGCATACACAAAGAGGAGCCATCAAATCTCACTTACAATCAACACATGCAACTCCAATAACCCGCCAAATTCTTGACGACACAAAAATAATTTAATAAAGCACCAACACAATATACACAAAAGTTGCAGAAGCTCCGTAATAGACATCAACAATCTACAAATAAACATCCAACAAAGAATGATTACATCATTACCAACTCGACGCCTTAAGACCATAATGCATGACTCTTCATTTTTGCTTAAAATTTTCTCAAAACTTATTTTTCATTGTACAAAATACTAGCAGAAATTGATTATTTTTAAATTTATCGTAACCAAAAATATTCAACAATGAAATTTTGTCCTTAGAAAGGATACTATACACTACTTAGTACATGTTTGCTTATAGGTGATTATCACTTTGTGTAAAATAATTCAAAGCATTTGTCATATAGATTTGTCATATAACATTTGTCAATATATATATATATACAATGTGTCTGTAGTGTCGATATTAGGAGTTTTATGTAATTTAGTTCATTCTGTAGTTTTGTTGAAAATAACGTTTGAATTGACATTTTATGGGTGTTTTTTGAGTTTTGAATAGAATTCTCGGTTATTTGTTGTTTCTAGGGGTTTGGTGTTATTTTTGGTGTTTTATAACTTATTTTTTTTAGGGTTATTATACGCTAACACAGGTGCACCTGGTTAGAGGCGTGAAGAATTGGTACTGCTTATGCAGGATACACACCGGCCATTTTTGCTAGTTTTGTTTATCTGTTTTTTTTTGTCCTGTTTTTGTTTTTTGCACTAGAGTCATTACTTATTTTATTTGATTTTGGTTTATTATTAATTCATTAAGTCCTGGGCATGACATAAAACTGCATCCACACTGCCTTGCGACCTTTTGAGCAAAAGGCTAGGCCCACCGCTTATAACTGGTGGTTGTCGTTAGGATGGGTGTCCGGTTGTGAAAAATTTCCCTAAAATTTATTCCATGCCATCACAAACAAAAACAACGACCCCTAGTTCCCAGCAGGCCTTAAGGGGTCAAGGGGTGCTAAAAATCCCTGGGAAGTATGCAATAGCGGAGAGATGTTGCAGAAAAATTCAGAATGGTCACTCTATGATGCTTAAACTTGGAACGCTCAATGTTGGATCACTGATTGGCCGCAGCATGAAAATCGCAGGAATGCTCGAGCGTAGAAGAATTAACATCTGCAGCCTTCGGAGAGATGAAAAATGACTTCTGGGCTGCGTTTTCTGATACCATCTTAACAATACCAAAATTTGAAACTATCCTGATTGGAGGCGATCTCAATGGCCACGTTGGAAAGAAAACAGATGGTTTTGACAACGTGCATGTCGGTTTTGGCTATAGAGAACGGAATGAAGAAGGCAAGCTGGTGTAGATAACAATTCAATCAAGTGTCAGCAGTGTAACCAGTGATGTCACAAACGTTGTTCAAAAATAATTGGTACTTTATATAAAGTGTCCAATTTTGTTTGTCCTGCTTGCATCAATCCACAACTACAAATACGAAATAGCAATGTTTTTGAAGCCATCAAGGTAGAGAAAGTCACATCGTTTCAAGATCTAGGGAATGTTCTGGATTGTACTGGAAGAGCTGAAGCTGCCGGTCGAGCACCCATACGTGCAGCCTGGAATAAATGGCATCCCCTTGCTTCTATATTGATGCGGCTTGAGATCCCACTACCACTACGATCAAGACTTTGTAAGGTTTAGAAGGTTTATTGTGTCTGATTAAGGAATTTATAGATAAAGGAGGCAAAAAATTAATTGTATGTGACTTCAATGTCCTATTTATAGACTGGAATTATGTTTCAACTTCTGGAGGTATAATGTCCTTTCAGAAGAAATTCATTGATTGTATAAATCACTGTATTTTGTTTCAATGTATTGATTTTCCTACCAGGTTCAAAAACCAGCAGAAGCAAAACATATTGGATCTGTTTTTTGTTCAGGAAAAAAATATAGTTCATGACATTAAATGTAATCTTCCAATAGGTGAAAGTGATCACATAATGATAAGCTTCTCATGTTTAGTTAGATGGAAAAAAACAGTCAATTAAGCGTTTTGATTTCAATAAAGGGAATTATGTGCCAATGAATCAATTTATTAAAGCAAATTTATCTCATGCATTGATGGATGTGATGAATGTTGGTGACAATAGCAAACAATCAATAATTAATGGGATTTGGGATAGGTTTGTTTCTGTTATTGAAGGTGCTATTAATAAATTTGTACCAGTAAAGTATATAAATGAAAATGAAAAAAAATCCGTTAAATTACCAAATTCTGTTTTAAATTCAATAAGAGAAACAAATTTATTATGGAAACATTTCATTAAGTACATGAATAATAAGATATTTGATGATTTTAAGAAGGTGAGAAACAAAGTTAAAAGAGACATCAAGTTAATAAAGATTAATTATTTAAATGGTTTGGGTAAATTGGTTAAAATTAATCCTAAGATATTTTGGAAACAGGTAAACAATAGTAGAAAGGATAGGTTTTCTATAGATAGTTTGTATGTGGTTGATAAAGAGGGAAATAAGATTGTTGTAACAAATGAATGTGAAAAGGCAAATGTTTTGGCTGATTTTTTTACCACTGTTTATAGTACTAGCAACAGGGATAATGATAGTATACAGGAAACTGTTTTGTGTGAAAAAACAATTAACTTAATGAATGTGATTGATTTTGAACCACAGGTTGTTTTCAATAAATTGAAAGTGTTGAATGTATTTAAATCATCTGGACCAGAAAACATTAGTGCAAAGATATTGTTTGAATGTAGTAAATCTATTTATGATTACTTAAGTTCATTATTTAATAGGTCTTTTGAATGGGGAGTCATCAATAATGTATGCAAAGAAAGTATTGTTACAGCCATTTATAAAAAAGGAGATAAAAAGTAAGCTAAAAATTATAGACCAGTTGCACTGACACGCATAATACGTAAATTGATGGAGTCTATAATAAAGGATGCTCTGATGTCACATTTGATTGAAAGTGGTTTGCAGAATACAAAACAGTTTGGGTTTGTCAAGGGAAAATCAGCTGTTCTGCAGTTGTCAAAATTGATGGATGAATGGTCTAGGGCTGTGGATAAAGATTATGAGGTTAATGTAGTATATACTGATTTTGAAAAAACATTTGATAGAGTGTCACAAAGTAAATTAATGGTTAAGTTGAATAAATGTGGGTTGAATGACAAATTGGTTGCTTGTGTTTATAATTAGTTAAATGGAAGAACATTTCGTGTGAGAGTGGTATGTCAAGATATTGTGGGGTAAAGAGTGGAGTTCCAAAGGGAAGTGTGCTTGGGCCAATTTTGTTTTTAATGTATGTTAATGATTTATTTCATTTGTTTCAGGATGTAAATTGGGTTGCGATGTATATGTATGCAGATGATGCAAAGTTGTTTAAAATTGTGAACTCAGATAGTGTGATATTGCAGAGGGGTTTGAATGATTTGAATGAGTGGTGTGTGCAGAAAGATGTGAAATTGAATAAAGAAAAATGTGTTGTGATGAAGTTTGGTTGTTCTGTATCAGATAATAATTATGATTATAAAATAAGCTCGCACCCATTATTTTTTGTTGATAAAATTGAAGACTTGGGTGTTATTTTTGAAACATCTTTGAAATTTATTGAGTATATACATTGCAATGCTAAGAAGGCATTTTTATTATTGGGTTTAATAAACAGAAATTTTAAAGATATTGATAAAAATGTTTTTATATTATTATATAAATCCTTGGTCAGATCTCAGCTGAAGTACGCATCAAGTGTGTGGTCACAATGGACAATACGTGAAACAGAAAAGATCGAAAAGGTTCAGAAAAGAGCAACAAAGATGATCAAGGACTGTGAGGGAATGAAATATGAGGACCGATTAAAATTTTTACAACTGCCAACACTAAAATACAGACGAATAAGAGGTGATTTGATAACGATGTTTAACATGTTGAATGAAAAGGATCAACGAAGTTTGCCGGAAATATTGAGAGCCACCAGACGAACAAGAGGACATGAGATGAGGCTAACAGCATTGACATTCCATATGAACTTAAGAAAAAATTATTTTGTTAATAGAACTATTAATATTTGGAATAATTTGATGATGATGTCGTTAATTGCTGCGATTTGAATGAGTTTAAAAAAAGTTGGATGATTTTCTTATGAATGCTGAATTTAAATACGATTGGAGTTGAAGGATGCTGTTTATAGATTTTTGGATGATGGTATAAATGTTTGTTTTGACATGATTGTCCTTAAGAAAGGACGATATACATAAATGGTTGAAATTTTTATGAAAAAATGTTTGTATGCATATATATAAAATATAGGTAGTTGAGTTAATAATAGAAATTATTCTCTTATATTTTTGTTTATATTTTTATTTTTGCTTGAACTTTATGCATGAACAGAACATATTAACATATATTATGTATATTGTTTTTGTGTTAAAATTTTATAGTTAATTTTGTGTTGCGGGCATAGGGACATTTTGTCTTCGCCCATGTTTTTTTTCGTAATAATAATAATAATAATAATAATAATAATAATAATAATAATAACAATAACAATAATATAGAGTTAAACAAAATTTATTAAACTTCTTTATGTCCTTTCTTTCCACATTGTGCACATTGCTGTTGATCACCGTCTATGCGTCCGATGAAGTGATTTTGCCCATTATATTGCATAGAATCAGTAGCAGATCGACATGGCAAAACAAGGTTTTTTAATTGACGAGAAATGAAATTCGTTTCACGATATCTCATGATGTGTAACATGGCTACTTCACGTCAAAACATTCGACAATTCATAGTAATCAAGTAAACGTGGTGAGGTGAAAAAGTTGACAACAAACACTTTATACGGAGGGCCAGCCGGTAACGTCTTAACCAGTTGAGAAACAACTAAATCACCAAGCCCCAAATCTTTATTGTAGGAACAAGACAATTCCCGATAAGGTTCAAACTAGACTAAAAAATCCCATTTAGCTATTCCAGCACCATACTTTAAAGTCAGAGCAAATTAGCTTACTACGAATAAATTGTTTTGAATTATGACATCCGTAGTGTGGCACCACAGATTCGTCAATAAAAATATTTTGTTCCATAGGCCAGTGTTTAACAAACGAAACATTTAACATCACAAACAATAGTCGAAGTTTAACAAGTTTGTCTTCTTCATCTATGTTATTGTTAATATTTCTTCGAAACGGTTTAGAGACTGCTGGATTGTGAACATCTTTAGGACTTTCCTACAACATTTTTCTTTTAGCTATTGGTTATAACCAGATATTAGTAGAATCGCTATTGCCAAACGAATTTCTGCTGCTGTTGGTGCTCAAAATTTTGATTTCTGCATAAAGTATAAATTGCTCATTTCCGTGATATGTTCAATTACTGCATCGTCAAAAAATTACTCACAGAGAGGATGGGGAGCAATTAACCCCTTCTTCGCAATCAACGTTCCATGAAATATCAGATTTCTTCAAATGACAATTCACCCACTGTCATGATGGTGGAGTAGCTTTTTTTGAAGTTGATGATACTTGCTCTAGTATGTGTTCTTTAGTTGCTACATTTTTACACTTTAAAACGTTTGTTTGGCAAAATAATTTGCTTAAATTTTAGCTCCTTATTCCAACAGTTACGTCATCAATGTCAGAATCTTGTTTATTAATTTTTATAAGTGCTTTCATCCTCCAAATCATTAACACCTGCGTGCAACTTTTTTGAATCTGACACCATCAAAATAGCTTCAGCATTGCCAAGCAACTGATCACCTGAAAGATTGTTTATGTCACCATCATCATCTGATTTTCTAAGATTTTCAGATGGTAAAACATAAATGTCAGCCCTTCGATAATCATCATTTTCTATCACGCTGACTACTTCAGCTACAGAATAACTTCAGTAAAAAACAAAAAAAAATGCAATGTCTAACAATGAAAGCAGTGTATAAAAACTATTTAGCTATCACTGCACCATTCGAAACTCACCAAAGTGAGGGAAAAGTTATATTTTGGCACGAAAAACGATAAAATGTATACATTTGTTGTAAATAGGATTAAGTACGATTTTAAATTCATTTATTATAAAACATAAAACATGTGGCCTTCAGCGCATGGCGTCCTTTTATATGGATATCGCAAAAAGCTGTCAGTAGTTTTCAACATGAACTTTTGACACAAAAAAGCTGGCAGTAGTTTTCAACATGAATTTTTGACGCAATTATAAAATATCACTCACAAATAAATTAAATTTGTCAAATAATTACAATAGATATATTTTTAAAAAGTTTATAAATTATGAGAAACTTACCTTTTATGCCGAGATATCTCAAAAAACCAAGAGTGGAAAAAACAAAAAACTGACAAACAAAATGGTTGTAAAAGGTGCGCAAATTTGGACTATTTCATTAAAAATATAATTGATGTGAACGTTCAGGTTTAATTTAGTATATAGGGAGATGTCCGAGAAATTCGATTTAATAAAAGGTGTTAATGAAAAAAGACGCTATGCATTAAAGGGTTAATACTAACTCAAATAACAATGGAAAAAAAGAAAATGACAACAACAAAGAAGATGAAGAATATGACACCAATTAATTAACTACATTTCCTTTGTCTAAGAAGCTATATAAAACAAAGCTGCACTGAAGATGATTTGTGAAAAACCGAAATATG